GGATGCTCCCCTGCAGGCCAGAGGCTGGCTGCAGCAAACACGGTGCCATGATGTGCCACGTTGCACTCAGCAGGCTTCAGGCTGCTCAGCACCTCTCAGACTTCACTCGCTCCCCTTGCCAGGCAGGAAACATGGGCTGGAAAACCCTGCCAGTGAAATTGGCCATTTCAGAGGACACCAGAGTAGCCAAGTTGCCCTTTGGGGTGACTCTCACCCATGAAGCAATAGTGAAAGGCCCCTCACGCAGCCCCCTGAGCCACCCAGCTGTCTTGGGCCTGGGCCTCGTCTCAGGGACAACCACCTGTTCCGCCATCATCTCTCTGCTTCTGAAGGACTCTGCCGCCCCCCAGCATCCATCTGTCTGCACGTCTGTACATAGGGTGCTTCCCGCACCACTGGGCAGAGGCACGATTACGCTGTGAATTCTTTCCAAGGGCTCTTCCTGCCTGTGCTGGCAGCCCATGCGCTGTGCCTTGCCCCGGCCCAGATGGCCTTCCTATGCTTGAGAGAGGCAGTCAGACTCTAACACTGCCTGAGATCATTGGCAATGCAAGCAGCTGAGACTGAAACGTGGGGAACAGGCAGTGCATGCACCTCCCCATCTCCGTTCATGCTAATTTTTTCTATCTATGTGCAGAATAAATTTGGTTCTGTGCATATGTGCACCACCAGAAGAAACATGTTGCCAGCTGTGAGAGGTTGTGGGCGTTCTGCTAATCAGCTGGTTGGGAACTTAATCTCTCCTGAGTGACCACACAAGTGCCCTGCTTACAAGAAACACTGGTCCCTATTGTCTGCACCCAGGCACACTAGTTGACAGTCAGTAACTGAACTCTGCAACCCACCTGAGCTTCCATCTCCACATCTGCGGCTGCCTCTTGCCCAGCACAGCTGCTTTACTGACTCAGTTAATGCAGTGCCATTCTGCAAGATGAATACCCAGAAACCATCTACTTCAAGATAGGCCCAAGAAAACCAACTATAGAACACCACTTGTCATCACCCAGGCTACATCTACACTGGCAGCTTCTTGCGAAAGAACAACCGTTCTTCCGCGAAAACTTGCTGGCTGTCTACACTGCACAAGCGTTCTTCCAGAAGTAAATTTACAGTAAAGCATCAGAAAACAGGGCTTCTTCCAGAAGAGTTATTCCTCTCCCCATGAGGAATAAGCCCTTTTGCGCAAGAGCTCTTCCAGAAGAGGCCAGTGTAGACAGGCAACATGAATTTCTTGTGCAAGAAGCCCCTATGGTTAACATGGCCATCAGAGCTTTCTTGCGCAAGAAGAAAGAGAGTGTCCACACTGCCATGGATGCTCTTGCTCAAAAGCACATGGCAGGAACTCTTGTGGAAGAGTTTTTGCACAAGAACTCTTCCGGAAAAGAGTTCTTGCGCAAGAAGCTGCCAGTATAGACTTAGCCCTATAGTCCCCACCTTAAAGCCCTCCAACGCTTTATCAATAACCTACAAACTATACTAGAACAGGATACTACACTCCAAGAGGCTCTGGGAGATAGACCCATAGTCGCCTATAGACAACCACCTAACCTCAGGAAGATTCTTACCAACAATCACAGGACATACCACACTAATACCAACCCTGGTACCTTCCCTTGCAATAAACCCCGTTGCCAGCTTTGTCTACATATTTACTCTGGTGACACCATCACTGGACCTCACCATGTCAGTTATATGATCAAGAACACATATTCCTGTTCACCCAGAAGTATAATTTATGCAATCATGTGCCAACAGTGTCCTTCTGCTACGTATATTGGAAAGACTTCTCAGACACTTTGCCAAAGAATTAATGCCCACAAATTAGACATCAGACATCTTCACAAGGAAAAACCAGTTGCTTTTCATTTCAACCTACCTAGGCATAATCTTTATGACCTTACTACATGCATCTTATTTCAAAGAGACTTTAACACCAGATTACAGAGGGAAACTTCAGAACTTTCTTTCATGCATAAATTTGACACTTTACGAATGGGCCTTAACAAAGATGCTAATTACCTTAACCATTACAAAGATAGCTTCCCGCTTATCACCCCCTGATTAGCCATTCATTGACTCAAATAGCTATTCCCTCCCCCCCCCACCCCACCTTCTGTACTAAATCTGATTTGTCAGTTTAATAATGTGTCCCCTTTTTCATTGTATCCCTTTGGTATATATGGTTGTGACAATTCTCTTCCAGAATATGATCTGAGGAAGTGGGTCTGGCCCATGAAAGCTCATCACCCATTAAACCATCTCGTTAGTCTTTACAGTGCTACACAGTTTTTCCTTTTGATTCTGCAAACAAGGCGGTGACAGCACTGCTTGCCTGGCCTGGGGGCAAGGCCAAAAGGCAAAGGCAGGGGTCTCCGATGTGACTGTTGCAATCCTGTTGCTCACCAGCCTGCATGGGGCAGAGACCTCTTTGGAATCACATGCAAAGCTCCTCCTAGAACATGGTGTCACTGGTCGCACATGCCCACAGTAAATTCCCTTGAAGCTGCTCATCCCTGGAGTGGCACGGCACGCAGCAGGAACCCAGCTTGCCACCCTGCTTTGCAGGCAGGCAGCACGAGTCCTGCCAAGCGGCCGCTGCGGGTGTGTTATCTTTGGGGCCTTTTGTGTAACGATGTGCATGATTGTTCTTTCCCCTCTTTTGTCCCATGGCTTTGTGCTGGGAACTCTGTGCTGTGCAGCAGTGTCTAGAAGTCCAGGTGGCGGCTCGGTCCCTTGTCAGGACGTCACGGAGGCCTCTGTTTGCCTGGTCTCGTCAAGGTGGGAAGGGACATGGGGATGGTGCTGTTAAGGGGGTTCAGTGATTGGGAACACATGTGCATGATTGTTCTTTCCCCTCTTTTGTCCCATGGCTTTGTGCTGGGAACTCTGTGCTGTGCAGCAGTGTCTAGAAGTCCAGGTGGCGGCTCGGTCCCTTGTCAGGACGTCACGGAGGCCTCTGTTTGCCTGGTCTCGTCAAGGTGGGAAGGGACATGGGGATGGTGCTGTTAAGGGGGTTCAGTGATTGGGAACACTTGTAGCCTGTGCTATGGGGCTGGTGTGAGTGGGGAGAAGGCAGAGCTTAGCACTCCTCAGTCTTTTCCTCTTGGGACCCCTCCCTTCTAGCTAGGACCCCGTTCCACTTCGGCAGGGTAGTCATGCCCCTAGGCTGGGAACCCCTGTGCCATGCCAGAAGGTGCAGGAAGGCAGAGCTGCAGAGCAGCCACCTCAGCAGCTTCCGTGCCAATGTTCCCTGTTATTGTTTCCATCCATGTGCAAAATAAATGTTGTTCTGTGCACTGAGGCATGTGTGGATGTGCACCACCCGTAGAAACACAGGCTGCTGGTGCTCTACTGATCAGCTGGGTGGCACCTGCATCTCTCCTGGGAGGCTACACGAATGCTCCACTTGCAGGGAACACTGGCTCAACGCCCACCCCAGTATCCAGCCCTTGCCCAGGCTGACTTGCAAACACAAGGTGGGAACACGCCAGATGACAGCAACCTCCAGCTGCAAGCTTTATTGAGAAGATTTAACAGAAGGCCCGAGGGCGAGAAATCACACCCGCTTCCCCTTCCTCGGGTAGGTGGCAGCAGGGCGCTGTGGAGCTGTTCTCAAAGCAGCCGTGTTTGTGCCACTGCTGGTCCCGGACACGGCGCACGGACTGGATCTGGGGCTGGTGGGCATCCCACTCGTTCCAGTGCTGGTACTCGCCCTGCTCAAAGACGTACTGCCGGCCTCGATAGCCAGGGTATTCGTAGCCCACCCACCTGTGGGGGAGGAAGACGAGATGAGAGCCTCCGCCCAGCCGACTCAAAGCAAGCTCCCCAAGTGCAGGGTCCTGCTGGCACAGAGTGGGCAGCCCTGCTCCCAGCCCTCAGCATTGCTGCTTCCGGTGCCTCCCCCAGCTCTGCTCTAGTCAGCCACAGCACTGGTGCTGATCCTGCCCCCCAGCGTAAGCCCAAGGACCCTGCTACATGGTTCCAGATTCCTGGGACTGAGGGGGGTGCTAGGCCACTGCACGATGAACCATGGCAACCCCAGACCAGCAGGTGCCCATAGCTCCAGAGGAGACGGGTGATGCCTGGCAAGGAACAGGCATCAGGGCAGGTGCAGGTTGTGCTCCTGGCAGCAGCAGAACAGGGGCACCAGCTCCCCCCTACTCACAGGGACTTCCTTGTCCCAGGGCAGGCTTCAGCATGGCCAGAGGTGACCTTCCCGCCTCCGCAACAGCCTAGGGACAAGTGGACTGTACTTCCCCCATCCATGGTGAAGGGTTTCACCCTCCCTGACTCCAGCCTGGTGGAGCAAAGAGGCAGGGGGTAGCGGATTCAGAAAGGCCAAGCTGTTGCAGACAAAGTAAAACAGGCCAGTACTAATCCTAGCCCCTGGGGGAAACCCAGCCAGGAAAGCCCCCAGCCCAGGGCACATGGCACCTTCTTCCATGGGTTGATTCAGGTTCTTACACCCCTGTTGCAATGGGACCCGTGGCCTGCAAATACAGAAAGCTGTGACTCCTTTGC